AGAAAGTCTTGGAGAAGAATCAAACTGGGACAGTCTGCTACAGACTTATGAACACAGTTTGAAAGTTTTCAGTGAAATTAGTACCAGTGCTTAGTCAAATTATGTTTGCTTGTTGACCTCTCTTATTTAATTAGTCCCTACTTCACTGAGCTGCTTCTACTTGCACACACTGAATCCGCTATTTCATATTGTTTTACCACTCTAATGATGGAAGAATTTGGCACAAGAGATGTTTTCTTTTCCATGTTATAAAGCTATTTCTTATGATTTGTGCAGAAATAAATTGTTTTGTTGCATCTCAGTTGTCTGAAACTGAAAGAAAGGATGTGTGGTAATCTCAGATCAAATATTATGTGAAGCTGAGGAGCCAGACAATCTCCATGGTGTTCTTACCAGGTGTGGGTAATTATCCAAAGTTTGGGTGTTTGTACTCTTGAGGTTCCCACATCTCTGTGCACTACACAAGCAGATTTCACTGTTTTTCAACTAGAAAGGTTGTAGCCTCCTGCTCTGTGTTCTGCTCCTTGTCTCTGGCTTCAAGGCACCCAGCACCCTGAGGGAGCCTGTGTGCACATGTGCTTATTGTGCTCCAAGCACTGTGAATGAACCACTGGCCTCGTGTGCTAGGTAAATCATAGACACATCCTCACACAACAGCCTGTCAGCAGGAGTGATATCCTTCACCCTGCCCAGTTCAGAAGAGAGTGGTGGGTGTCCAGTGCTGAGCTCCAGGGAAGTAAACACCAGGGCCACGAGCCTAGACTAAAGACTAAAATCCAATTCTTGAAATCCCAGGCTCCAGCCTCTAGGGCCTATTGCCTCTCTAAGCATGTGTAAGGTCTTAAAAAAACCCCATAAAATCTTAATTTAGAGCTGGATTCAAGAAAAACATTGTATTCAATTAATTATAGATGAACTATAATTATAAAACACAAACGCGTTGCTGCAAAGCAAGCAAATAAGCAGAAAGGATTATTTGTTGTTTAATGTAGCAGAGGAAGGTAGCTGAGGAAGGGATACGTCTGTCTGACACCTAGCAAGTTGTGCGAGTCTATTTGTTAATCTTTTTAACTTTCCATTTTGTTAGGATAGGGTTTCAAGAGCAAATAGAGTAAATGAGATTAAGTGTGTGTCACCCTGAATCGCTGTCCTCTGAGTTATGAGCAAAATCACTCTATGTCAGAGAATTATAATTATGAGGAAAATGCTGCCTGTGTAATTGTGTGCTTTGTTCAGAAGAATCTGAGATCTGTAATTATCTCTAGTATGCCATGGTGGTGTGTGCTGGCTCTTGATTTCTGCAGTAAGCAAAGGCATTGAAGGTTTCTCTCTGGAGCAGTTCATGATGTAGCATGGCTGGTACCTGCAACAGTAGCAATATTATCCTTTAGGTCTTCTTTTCAAGTGAGGGATCCACAGTAACTTGGAATAGAGCACCCATTGTACATTTATTTTTGCATCTACCTTGAACTTAAGCATTGATTGCACAGTGAGGAACGGTGGCCATGGGGGAGAGTCTTCTGAGCTGTTGATATGCCAGGAGAGGCATATCTAGCTCCTTTTGCAAAATCAAGTTGTAGCACATCCAGTGCTGTGCTCCATCTCTTACATTTTTGGTAGCCCACAGACATTGCTTTTGATATCTGTGATGACCATGATTTTGCAGGTGCTCTGACAAAACAAAGGGTGCAGCTTTCTTTAACAAGAATTAAGCTGTAATCTCGTGGTAGTGATCTATTAGAGGACTATATGCTACTCTTAGTTCTACTTAGTTTATATGGCCCTTCATGCTATGTAACTTCACTGTGACATGAGTTGAAAATATAAAGAACATAGTCTCTGGAAATTTTGGGTTCACCAACAAAAAAAAGCTTTGAATCTGTGGGTTGTTTATCTGGATTAATAAAAAATTTCTGCTAGAAAAAAACAATTGAAAAGTTCAGCTAGTTTCGTCCCATGGATCAGTGTCATTACTGCTGGAAGCAGAGCTCCTGGAGAGAGGATATGCACAAATTAAAAAGAAACTCACTACAGGTCCTGCTCAAGCATTTCTGCGGTTTCTTATTGAGGCAGAGAGTGCAGAGGGTCAGAAGGCAGACTTTTGCCTGATGGATTAGCAATAAAACAACCTGCTAGACTTGGATGCAAATTTTTGGTTACTTTGCCTAAATTTTGTGTGCATTAGGGGAGAGGAACAAGCAGGATGCATAATTTTTTTTAGAATTCTAGTAGCAATTTTATTTTCTTTTTCAGACATTTTTACAGTTACGAGCCAAGACTTAAATCTCCACATCTGTTTTTATCGGTCAGTCTAGTTTGCAACTGAGGCCCCTTTTGTCCCATGTAATTTTATGTAATCTGTGATGCTGCATAAAGATTCTGGGAAGAAAAAATAGAAGGACTGAACAGACCTTCTGGCTAATATGTACAATGACTCACTCTATCCTTTATTTCAACTTCCATGAAGTATTTTCAGATACACTATTTACCCATTAAATGAACTATTTATTTTAGCTTATGGCTAAAGTTTTTCCTAGTATTTTGATGTATTTATTGGGAACATGAAAAAATAAATCATAAATTAGAACTTAACAAATGCTTACATTAATCATCTGAGACAGTCTCATTATAATCTTATTCAGAGTAACTAGTTATCTGTAAGAAAGGGTTTCCTGTCCCTTGGATGCCAACTTACTTGAGGAAATCTCCTCTATGCTTGACAAGCAATTGGTAACCATAGTCTTTCTGTACACAGAAACTAGGCAGTTTCTTCATAGGAAGAAATGAAGTAATTCATGGCCATTACTGAATCTAGTTTTACTATAATTTAGAGGGAAGAACTCTTCCCTGGGAAGAATTTATTCTATAATTGCTTATTTCAGGATTTCTGTTGCTTTCCTTCAGAGCATCTGGCAAAAACTGCTGCTAGTGGCAGGCCTGCAGCTTGCTTGCCAGGGTCGCTGGGGCACATTTAATGGCAAACAAGAAACTTCTACCTTGCCTTGGTTTTCTGTCACCAGCAGCTGCTTTGAGGAAAACAACATGGCAGCAAGCCCATATGACTTCACTGCACATTGAAATTCCACCTCCTGGGGAACGTACAGGTCATAGGGTCAAGCTGTCTTCAGCTGTGTCTGTCTGAGCTAGATCATCTCCATCAGTTTTCTTTTCTAGAAGACCTGCTCCTTTACCCATGCTCCGCAAGCACCTGGATGAGATCCTAAATGCAAGAGAAGCACAGAGAAATTCAGCTCTTCTCCACTGAGCTCTCTGCCCCTTCCTAGTCTCTTAATAGGTCTTAATTTCCTGGGCCTTTCTATGCTTAAGACCAGTCCAAGGAAAAACGTATGCTTCTGCTCCCCCACTATGCACTGTAGCAAAGCATCCTTACTCAAGTGAGCTTTATTTTTTCCTTCTCCCCTAGTCATCCTGGAGGTTTTCCCCCTGGCCACAGATACATCTTACTCTCAGCTTTACAGTTAATTTGCGCTGGGAAGGATTTGTCCAACTTTTACTCACTCAAGCCCAGGCTGATTGAAGAATGCACAAGGAAAGGTCCTTTTAAAAGCAGTTTGCAGCAGTGCAGTGTTAAAAGCCTGACAGTGAAGAGGAGTGGAGTACAGAACAATCACTTTCTGCCTACTTTAAAGGGATGAGGGGCAAAAGCACGGTGCCCTTCTGACACTGGCCACAGGAGCATGTTTAACAGTATCTTCTCAGGGTCAATGACACCATTCTCAGCTGTTCCAAACAGCCTATCAGTAGCAAAACCAGTGCAAATTGGATCTGGGAGAAGACCGAGTGTTGGTTGTTCTTTTTTCTTTCCCTCCACAGGTTTCAGCCGGGCAGACAACCAGATTCAACTCTAGATGTTATTTCAGGCAAAATGTGATCCAGGATATGTGGGCCAATATGGTTTATGCAAATGGTGGCAGAGTGTTGCTGCTGAATGACTGCACAGCAGCTTTGCCATCAAGGCAGGTGGAAACTCGGCCAGGGGTCTTACTTTTACTGAAGAGGTTCTTGGTCCCATATTTTTTCCTTATTTACATTTGCAAGGTTCACTAGGTTGATCCTATTTTCCCCCTCATCAACCCTGTAACACCAAATCTCTTTATGCAGAACAGGGAAGTAGATTTGGTCTAGTGTTTAGATATAAGCTTTAGAGAGGCTGCAAATGGCTGAGAGAATAAACACTGTGGTTTGTTGGGTAAAGCTGCCAGTAAGACAGCCTGTTTTCATCCATGGTCCTGTCCTCCGCTGCTGGTGGGAAGTGTTCTTCATTGCAGCCAGAACAATTTTCCTTTTAGCAGGCATTTCTCCACTCACTTTCCAAAATCTGCTTTTTCTTCTTTACCCTTTATCTTCAATTCCTCTCAGTTACCTCTGCCAGGTGAGCAGCAAACCACCCATCCCAGTGTTTCTGGAAGGTGTTCATGTGGTAGGTGCCATCCTCTTCCATTTCTTTTTGAGATAGCATTTTTACATTCTCCTGACACCTGCAGCACCCATCTGACTAAACTTTCCCCCAAGGAGAGGTTTTGTAATGTTCTGGGTGGCTTTTAGAGTTGGTTCTGAGTGTTATTTGGAGTTGAAAACCACTCAAGGGGAGGCATAGTGAGAAGTGAGTGTGCTTCTCATTTTACCAGCTGTGGAGATCAGTGTTTTAAGAATCCTATTCTGCTTTGCACCAGTGAAAACTGAAAGTAACACCAACTACAACAAAGCTGTATAGAAGGTAAACAGAAATCCAATAATGAGATGAAGGTTTTACACAGAGAAGCAAAATGCCAGGTTGCAAATAAGGCAATAGGGCTGCAAAGCCCCATGAGCTATGTGAACAATTGGTACTGTCTGTGTTACGGAAAAAAGTAGCTTTACAAAGGGTGTCTGCACTGAAACTGGCCCTATGGAAATTTCTGTTGTTAAATTGCAAATTCAGCCTTCCTGCATGATTGTTGTGCAGGGGACGCAACTACTTTTCTGTATGATGATGGTGAATGGGAAGAAACTACGTGTTACTGTCAAAATAACCCTCACCTATAACTTTTCCTCTCCACAGGTGCCCCTGGTTGACAAAAGCCATCTCCCCAGCCATCCCAGTGTACAATGGGCTCGTATTCTTGTTTGTACTGGCAAACTTCAGCATGGCAACTTTCATGGACCCTGGAGTTTTCCCACGAGGTAACAGAGAATGGGACTGTTGGGGGGGCAGGATTTGAAAACCCAAGCCAAAGGAGGTGTCAGGTATCCAAATACAGTTGGCTGACTTATCTCCTTTTTTTTTTTTTTTTTTTTTTTTTCTGGTATTCTTCCCTGTATACTTCATTTATTTATTTATTCTACTCAGCTGGAGTGGGATGACAGTGAAATGCTGGATACCCTCCACCTCTCTTCTCAGCTAGATGTCAGGTGTCCTTGCACTTGCTCAGACTGGCAGTTGAGGGCACAGGGTTGTGTAGAATGATTCTCCTTGAGTAGCTCTCCTGACTGATGAGTTTGTGATTGCCATCCTCTGTGTCATGCTGGCACATTGAATTTAAGTCACTGTCTTCACAATAGCTAGTGGAGCGTGATGGAGGGGAGAGGCTAAACTTTCTGAAATGGCTTCATTAAAGCAGACCTTCCAAAAAGCCTTAAAACAAATGCAAAAGCATTGAACGCTAAAATAGATAATGATGAAGGCTTGCCTTATAATGTCTAAAAATTTACATTTAGAAAGATATGCCTGCTTAAATTAGTACTGATTCACAGCTGATTAAATAGGGTAAAGATTGCTCAGCATCTGTAATGGGAACCACAGTGCAGCTATTTCTTTTAACACATCCTAATGAGAGAATTATCACCTCGTTTTATCCCTCTTCTAATAATTACGCACGTGTAGTTTGCAAAAATGACTGCTCTAGGCTAGTGGATCTGTGCTGTCTGCAAGCTGTGCTTTCTCCCCTCTGTTCCCTGAATTCAGGATCTATTTTGAATTGCTACCTGACAAGAACAAGCTACCTGCCCTGCTGGCTTCCCTGAATAGCAAGTGCCAGGTTTCTCCAGGTGGCAGTTTCTAATGATGAGAATTCATCTGCTGCTCCTTTCAGCTGAAGCTTTTGAACCCAAGTTAAGTGTTGTAGCACTCCAGTTAAGGAAAAATTGTGTGTGAAGTCAAACTAAGGCAAAGGGAAGATTCAGTCATTTGTGCAAGATTCAGTGATGCAGTGTCTAGGTGCCTAACGGTACAAATAGAAGTTTGTGAGATTTTTTTAAAAGAGCTTGAGTGTTCGGAGGCTTTACAGAGTTTCCTGGACTTCTGAGTTCCTCCATCTCAGCTGTGGTGATTAGACACGCTTTGCATGTGAAGGTATCGAAAGCATCCGAGCTCTTTGCCTGTGGCAGGAGGAGAGCTGGAATAAAGTTGTTCAGTTTTGGAAATCTTAGTCTGGGGATCAAATATGTTTGTGTAACTTAGTTCCCTCAGACTAGAACCTGCAGTCAGACTCTCCACCATGCCCTGAGTGATCAGTACTGAGTGTGTTAAAAATTCACACCTTCCATTACACTTCTCTAATTTCCTCTTGCAAACATTGATTTCAAAGGAGAAAACCTCAGGGATATTAAATGGAAACTTTGCGACTTTGTCACCCTCCCTGTCTCCCTTATCATGAGGGAGTCATGAGCAAAGCAGAAGAGGAGTTTCCCACAGCTCACCCTTCTTCTGTCTCTCTTAATTTGCGGCCTTGGCCTTGTATCTACACTGTGCATGTGTCTGGTTGGGGAGAGGCTGGGAGCAAGGGAAGAGGGGAAAGGATGAGAAAAGGGGTAGAAGTTGTCCTGGAAGAAAGTGATGGAGTAGGAGTTTAGATGTGTGAAGGAAGAAAACTTGCAAGGAAAAGATGGAATAGACTATAAATACGAGTGCTGGGAGGAAAAAGGAGCAGATGTTATTTCAGATCACAAGTGTGCATGCGGAAAATTCTCTCGCCGTCCCACGCCACCTGCAGAGATGCCAGCACAAGGAGTTCAAAATTGTAGGAGTGATTTGAAATGAATATGCAACAGATCTGTTTGCTTTCTGTTATTGAAATTAGGTTGTCTTCTTGGTTTTCAAGCTTTTTAGCACATTTCTGATAGTTACAAATTTATACTTCACAAAATGAAATAACAAATAAGCAATGCAAAAGCTGAAATTCTAATGAAATCACATTATTCCTTTAAGGAAGCCACCAAAAATCATAAACTATGTTATAAAACATGGAACTTGGCTGCCCTTTGTCAGTGAGTCAGAGTATCAGAATCTATGTAGTAAGATACATTACTCTGCCAATGTATTCTTCTGTTCACATCACTGAAAGCTGGAAATAAACATATTTCTAGCTATATTCTTTAAGTTATATGTTCTGTAGCAGATAGAACTTGGGCTGTGGGCAGAAGGAAGTAAGCCGAGGTCATTCTTGTATTGTTGAAGAGGTCCTGAATCAAACCCCTAGGTCCATTACTCATTTTTTAATCCTTTCTTAGTTTTCTGACTGGTTGTTTCTGGTATGAATCAGGATTGGCTCTGTGCAAGTGAGTTGCCAGTAATACACCAAAATGAATAAGAAGGAGATTAAGCATTAAATCACTGAAACTGAGGCTACCCTGACAAATCTGATTTACAGTCTGGGTTTGAGACTGGCAGTGTTCATTGCTGGCTAATTATGGATACCAACTACAAACTGGCTTCCAATATTTTTGTTGTGAATCTATGCAAACTCTTCAAGCATGTGTCAGCTCTGCAAGACTAATGTGTTTATATGCATGTACATGTTTTTTGTCTGCATAATCAGCTTTTTTTTACAAGAGCTTAAATGGTTTGACTGTTCTAGTGTCTTGTTTTCATATGCCTACCTGTATTATACAGCATGGGCTAGTTTATGATAGTTTTGAAGAACCCACAGAACCCTGGTTGTAAATGCTGGCTAAGATTCAAGCGGGAGTGTTCTGCAGCCCAGACAACCTGTTCTGACAGTCCATCACTTCCACCACTCTGTTATTTCTCTGACAAACCCAAGAGCATGTGCAGTTCCCCTGTATCCGAGGCACTGACTGGATATTAGCTTTTTTATCTTTACCTTCTGTTACTTCTACTAACATTTAGTTTTGCATTGAGCAGCAGATGAAGATGAAGATAAAGATGATGACTTTCGAGCTCCACTCTACAAGAATGTGGAGATTAAAGGAATCCAAGTACGGATGAAATGGTGTGCCACCTGCCACTTCTACCGTCCTCCACGCTGCTCTCACTGCAGCGTCTGTGACAACTGTGTTGAGGTAACACTCCTGTTGATTATGCGATCTGTTGGGTTTGCCTCAGTAATGGGGTTGCACATACTGCTGGAAACATGTAGCTGGATAGTTCACCCATATTTCAGTTCTTGGAAGTTCCCAGCTGTAGCCTTGTTGATGGACTCCTATTAATGAATACCATTTGAAACATAGCCCTTGGTTATGATCTGTGTTACATATGCCATAATGTTTGGTGTCTTCTTTGTTGCCAATGATAAAATTGATAGTGCTGGCTGTGTCTCCCTTGGAATAGCTAAGGGATTGTGCATGTGAAAAAGGGGTGAATGTAAGAGTTGATGCAGAGGCAGAGTTCAGGAGATCAAGAAATTCAGGGTGAGCCATTGCAGCTTGTCATGTGTGAGCTTGGGGCTCCTCATTTAATTTGGAATATGCTGGTGCCTACATTAGTGAACATGCAGAGAAGCCAGAATGGTATGTGAGCTTTAGGAAAACCAAACTGTTGGTCACTCTGATTTGTGGGACTTTCACATTCCTTGATAGCCATTAGGCCATGGTGGGGCACACTGGATTTTTTAAAAATCACCCTCAAGCAACAATATGCTTTTGGGGGATAAACATCTCCCAGACTTGGAAGTACAGAATGCTGTATCCACAGCAGTGTATTTCTGGGGGAAATTTTTTATTGCTGAGCTAAAAGTTTTTCTTCTTAAGGGTCATTTCTGCTTCAAAGTCTTTTTTTGTTTTTCAATAGAAAGATGAAATCTTTATGTCTAAAATATATTCTGCTGTGTCATTAAAATGAAAGGAATCACTAATCAGAAAGGAAAAAAAAACAACAGAGTCAGCTGTATATACCACCTTTGTCCTAATCCTTTTTGCTTTAAGCAAGGGAATAGTCTCAAAGAAAGCAGCACAGTTACACGTGAGAGAAAGGCTGTCTGGGTTTACCTCTTGACAGTCATTTTCTCCTTCAGGGCAATACATATCTAAGTTATAATTACCTGGAAGCAATGCTGTGCCTAGTAACCATGGATAAATAGGAGAAGGCTTTCCTGTTGTGGAAGGCCTTAGAAGGATGTGGGATTTGAGAAGATGGAGAGTAAGGAGTTGCCATGGTCCCTGAGTTAGAGGGGAATTGTCACAGCTGTTCATGAGTTGTGTCACATAGTTTCCTTAGACTGCTGTGAATCACTGACTAGAGCTGGACTTTTTGTAGAAAACCTCAGTCATAAATTCCTAGTTTTAAAACATCAATGTTTTCACCAATTATAGATCTGGAGGATTGTTTAGATTATGGTAAATTCTTAGTTGTCCCATGGACTTTATTTTGCCCTCCCCAGTGGCTCAGCATGAAAATCAATTTTCAACAAATGAAGTTTTCTCAGAAAAAGATTGCTTAAAACTCACTGGTATAGACACTTGCAATTTCATGCTGCCATAAGGCCTCCATGGGAGTAAATTCTGCAGCAGAAATGGAAATGGGAGCAAATCCAAAAGTATCCTGAATAAAAGAGCAGAATGCAAAATGACTTTTCCTAGCTCTCCAGAAGTTTAATTAATGGTCAGATCAGTTGAATATTCCTTAATATTCTTGTGAGGAAGTATGAAGTTCTGATTGTATAATTAAATTATAACTGCTGTGGAGGAATATGGACAAGAAACATTAAAGACTTCTGAATCAATAAATCATGGTCTTATACAGCATGCTTTATTGATTCTTGAGATGCTTATTTCCCACTCTCCTGTCTATTCTAGAAGAACTTGGAGACAGTGATAGGAGTGACTCTACTGGCCTTTCTGTGTGGAACCTATTTGGGGTTGTAATTCACATATTTTCACTTTCAGTCTAGAATGTGCAATAAAAATTCTTTCCCCAAATACAAAACTTTTGAGCCTTTTAAAGAGAGCATGGCACGTTGTAAAGCTGCAGAACTAGCCTGATGTAATTTGACATGATGATAGTTCAGATTTATCTCTAAAACAATGTATTTCCTTTCACTGTTTGGATGTTGTTCCCTTTCTCTCCCTTTCTTTACAAGGATTTTGATCATCACTGCCCATGGGTCAACAATTGCATAGGACGGAGGAACTACCGCTATTTTTTTCTGTTCTTGCTCTCCTTGAGCACGCACATGGTTGGAGTGTTCACCTTTGGGCTCATCTTCGTATTAAACCACATAGAAAAGCTGGGAGCAGCTCACACCACCATTACGTATCCTTCTTTTCGGTCTTTTAAGACTCAAGGTGGCTTCAGAATTAATCTGAAGCTTTGTCATTCTGGAACTGGTGGAGATCTGCTCCCCTCCCAATCTCCCATTGTTCTTTCCCTGTAGATGCTTAGTGCAGGTTTTTCTCTACCCATCTGACCTGTGTAATCATCAGTCATCCCCAAAACTGCCTTGACAACCCAGCAGAAGGATATGCAGCCTCCCCAAATTTTACTTCAGTTGGGTGTGACTCTATACTGCTGGATACTATTTACTCTATTTTAAAGCAGATTTTGCCCTAAAAGCAGCCTCCCAACATGCTGGTGTAGCACCTAAACCCCTGGCTCCATGGGATGCTACTCCTGTTGATTAGTGCAGAACAGTCTTTACCAGATGGTTAGAGCCAGAATCAACGAGTTCACATTGATTTTTAACCATCTCAAGGCTAAGGACCCAGGCTAGGATCAGATGGACTTGACTTTGAGATAAAATATTGCCTAATTAAGGGTGAGGGACACTCTCCCTATTTCCAAGATTATTTTTTTTTTCCTTTTCCTCTCCCTCTCCTTCATAACCTCTTTTCCCCTTCACTCATCCCAGCTTCTTTAACTCCTGGATACAGAATGGCTGTCATGTGTGTGGCTGGATTGTTCTTTATTCCAGTCATTGGTCTCACTGGTTTCCATATTGTTTTAGTGGCCCGAGGGCGCACAACAAATGAACAGGTAAGAAGCAATCCTTTCTCTGTGTTTATGGCTAAGATGTTGAGTTGGGAAGGAAAGTCAGCAAGTCAG